TGCATTCGCTTGGGAATGTCGGCATGGGCCGGCTCACTGTTCTAGTCTTACCTTGCTCATAGTTCTGCAGGCCTGCATCATTTCCTCTTGGGATCACTGTTCTAGTCTTACCTTGCTCATAGTTCTGCAGGCCTGCATCATTTCCCCTTGGGCTCACTGTGCCAGTCTTACCTTGCTCATAGTTCTGTAGGCCTGCATCATTTCCCCTTGTGTCATCTGCACTCCACCAATCAGCTGCAGGCTATCAGCCACCTCGGCACTCAGGTCCCCAAATGTGCTCTTCTTCAGGGACACGGACTCCTTCAGGATTTTCATAGCCCTCTGGAAACGCAGGGCAAGTTGAGTCAAGCACAGATTTCTTGTCAAAAGAAATAACTAGATACCATGAACTCAGGGGTGGGCACAGCCAACTATAAAGTTAGCTTTGATAACCACTAATCCACTAACTGTACAGTTTAATTGGTTAATGCTAAACTGATAAACCACCAAAAAAAAATTAGCAGAAGCTAATGATAATCGCTAACCACTAACTTTTTATATGAATTTAGCTTTGGTTTGGTTTAGGGCTCTGAAACCCTTAAAAATATAGCTAGAGAACTACAATTCGTTTATAAATTTAGTTCCACTGGTCTGGAGTGATTCCCTGGGGATATTCAAGACTTACCCAAATGGAAATCATTGTATTCTGTAGAGTCTATAGAATAAGTTTTCTGCCAATGATATTCCATTTGCGAGATTTAAATGTTTTTGTCGGAGGAATCCTATTCCACTTGACAACTACAAGCATGCCACCATTTACCTAGAACTAGGAAGGAGGGTCTCGGCTCTTTATTGGTCTATAGTTCTGTCAATCAAAACCCAGAAAATAAAGGAAAGCAACCAGGAGCCAAAGAAGGATTTCTGATTTTAACCGGATAACATGTCGTATTTTAGGTAGTCTGGGCTAAATGTAAGCCAATGACGATAAAGTCCATTTAACTAGGCTACTTGAATTCAACAAGTTAAACTAAGCAAGAAATCAGGCTTCATGATACAGGTCCACTTCTCTGCTTAGTTTGGGGTACCCCAGTTTAAATGGACTTTATTGTCACACATTTACGTTTAGTCTAGACTACTCTATATATTAAAAGTTGTCAATATATCACATCTCGTGTTTATACGTAGTCAGCCAGTAATGTGCCAGATAGACTGCTTCAGAGAAGCTTATAACAGACCAGAACAAACGTGAGATTTTAGGATTTCCAAACGTTTTTGACTGTTAAACTTTAGCTCCTATTTGGCGAATAGGAGTCATCCTTATTTTTTTGTGTTAATGTCCATTTGTAAATATTCAAATTATACTTTTTTTGACAAATAGACATTAAGCACTCAGATAAATATCTGTAAAAGATGGTACCGCACGATTAGTTGTGCGATTGCTAAGGACTTGTTGCACAATCCCCAACAGAACACGTGGAGGGCCTGTGACCCAGGGCGCACGCAGACCTCCTGTTGGCCGCTGAGGAGGAGGACCCGACAGTACTTGTCCTGCACTGAGAGCGTCAGGGGGTCCCCTGGCCTTAGACACCTGCTGTAGATACTCAGGCTCTGCTGGAAGAATGAGGCAGCTCTGTCTGCAGAGTCAAAGAGACATTAATCAAACACCTCGCCTCCCTCCTCAGGAGACCAGCCTGTGCTTACTGTCATTTCAGGCAAATGCCACTGATAGTATTATTCCTTTGTAAGCTTATCATCAGTTTGAACATTAAACTTATGTCAGCTATGGGGCATTTTTGAATGCCATCTAGAGCATTGGCTGTGCATAACAGGATAACACAGAGATCTATCACAGAAAATCCTTTCTATATCCTTTCTACATTCAGATCCATGCACATAGAATCATCCCGATTTGCACCTCACAAACTGGAGCGTATTCTAAAGGAACCTACCAAGGTACTTGGGGTCCTGGGACTTAGAGTAGGCCACAGCTAGACTGTAACATATGTCAGCCTCCTCCAGTCCACCCGGGGTCACCTCCTGGACCAGGGAGTATGCCTGCAGGAACAGTCAGTAATACAGCCGGTCACTGCAGGGTGAATATGCCCAGCTGACAATATGCTTCAACCAGTTTAGAGGATCTCATGCATAAACACTCTGATGCCTCGCCTTCAATAGGTACTGCACCGCTGCGTTGGGCTGGCCCTGCTCTTCCTCTATGGTGGCCATGTCCTTGTAGACAGCGCAGGCTGCGTGGGGTCCCTCGTGAAGCTTCAGTGCTCGCTCACACTGGCAGAGAGCCTTACCCGGGCAGCCCTGATGCCGGTATAATCTAGAGCAGAGAACATCCCAGTACAACCCTTAGTAAAGCTTAAGCCTAGACCTAAACTTCAACATGGGTTTGGACCATAATTTCAGTATAAATCTTTGCTTGCCAGGACTGATGTCTGGACCTGAGCCTGACCACAGGAGTCCTGAGGCTTCTGCCTTGTCAGTCTAACATGAGCCGGTTTGACGTTTAGCAGCTCTCAGCCTGCTGCTGCTGGCACAGGGCTCTGGAGAAGCTCCGATCGGCAGAGAAGACTGTCAACAGTCGCAAAGTAGTATGAATGTATCCATCATCTTTCAGGATTTATGAATAAATGAAATCATATCTCATTCATGCTTATAGACTGACTACAAACCTCCACAATCCTCCTAGTTTACTGTGGTAGAAAATACAAACAATTAAATGGCTGGAACAGTATAATCTTGTTCAGTATCATCGACTTTCAGACACATTTACTGTGCCTTACTACAAGGCTAGTGGCTGCCTTGCATTCACACTGAATACTGCCTCAGCCGAGAAAGGCTGCACTTGAAGATTGACATCCATGGTATTTCGGACCACTGCCGACGCCTGAGCCGTGCCCAGCTTCCTGACCTTTAGATTGTAGCACAATGCCTTCAGAGCAGCTGACTCACCCACATGGGGAACAGCTGCCCAAAGCACCCCAAACTGAACCCCACCCCTGATAAGGTGGAGCAGCTGAAGAACGGACTAGACAGGAAACGCTGTCAAGTGACACAGCCAGAAGACATACAGATATAGAAAGTATATAAAGCACAAACACTATTATACTGTATATTAAACTACCAGGTTTAAAGAGGTGCTTTTTATTGTAATGTGTGCTATTCATACAGTCATCAACACTACACTGAATCCATACGGATGCTCTGAAAATGGCTTCTCTGTTTGTCTTTCTGGACATGGGATTCAACCCTGTTCAGCTTTCACAGATGAGCCAAACGCCCTTGCGTTTTATGGAAATGTCTCTGGGTACAACTGTCAGGATCAGCATCTGTCCCCACCCTCGGTGACCTTTCCCCATTTGACCAGCAGCCATTGCTGGTCATTTCACCTTTCTCCCTCTCTGTCGCATAGTCCATCTCTCTGTCCAGTGTTTGGTTCAGTCCCCGTTTGGCCAACAGGTGTTGCTGGCAATCCTGTTCCCTCCTCTGTCTTAGTCCTAAGCCCCTAGTGTGTCTTCCCAGTTTCCCAGGCTGGTACATGGCTCAGTGGGTTGAATGCACAACTTCATAACTATTAACCCGCTGGTTGTGGGTTCAAGACTGGCCTCACCTGTTTATTTATATTTATTAGTTTTGCTCCTCAGTCTTTCTTGTTTCCTACTGGTTTCCCAGTTATAGGTTTATTCTGCTTGTGTCCTGTTCACTTCTGGTCTTGTTGGTATTATTTGGTTCTGTTAATTATCCTGTTGAATTCCCATGATGTTAGTGTTTTCTAGTTTTAGTGTTTGCAGTATTCCCTGGTTCTGTGCTTGTTAATTGTTCCTCCTATTGCTCATTGTCCTGCTCCTTTTGTGACTGGTTAATTTGATTACGGTTTACACCTGTCCCTTGGTTGTCCTGCGTTTCTGCGGGTATTTAAGTGCTTGTCTGGTACTGTAGTTATGTCAGTGTTCAGAGTGCTTGTTATTGTGTGTTATTTGTTTTGTTGTCTAGTCCTGCTTCCTGTGTTCTCTTGGTTCTCTAGTAGTGTTTATTCCATACTTTAGTTTATTCCTAGGTCTTGTTTTCCCTGTTTGACCCCTCATGGTCCTTTTCTTTTTGTACTTTCCCCGTTGTGCTATATTTTGTTATTAAACCCCTTAGGTTAGGAGTGGCAAGTTGATCGTCATCCTTTTTTCCTGCCTGGGCCATGTCTCGCCATGACAACACAACCACACTCAACTGCTCAGCGGTGTGCATCTTCTCAGTGTGCCTGAAGCTAGCAGAAGTGTACCCTGAATGAAAACATGCAGCCAGGGCTTTGATCCCATAACCACATTATTGTGCCATAGCAACATAACCGTGAAGTTACACAAGACTCTGGTACTGCAGTGCTGGCAAAGTGAATTTATTAGGCAGGAAGAGGCCAGAATCCACTCGCAAACCACTAGCACCACTTGTTACGCGCCGATGCTGGAACACATCAAGGGCTGGACCCACTACAGAAACAACAGAGCTGCTTCAGCTGGCAAAGCAGCCAGTTTGCCCATAAGGGCTCATTGTTAGTCCTGGTTAAAACCGATGTGTCTATCCAAGGTACTGCTGAAAATTCCACAAAATGAAGTCACTCATAGTTTACTGTAAAAATAGTATAAGTTGCTATTTATCTTGGCTCAGTCTATTGGTGCTTCTTTGTATAAGTACAGCATATGAAAGACTGCAGGACAAATATACTATTACTTCTCTAACAAAGGCAAATGGCATTCGTCTCCTGAACCACATGTCAGTGATAAGCTTGGGTCCTAACCTACAGAGCCACACACCAATTTACCAGACTACAGCAATCTAAGATGTCATTTGGTCATGCTACCCAAGGACAAAGCTTACACAAAATGACCACCGCACCAACATTGCTCACTTTCACCAAATCAGCCACTTTAAAATGATGCAGTTAGAAGGAAAATTTCCATTTGGAACTTGAACCTGCATTCTACTTCTTGATCTGCCCATAGGCTTCAACAAAAGATAATAATTAGCACCATCAAGTGATGCCATGTCACAGCCACTTTAGAACAAAGACATATTTTGCACAGTTTTACGTCTACATTTTTCCCTGCTCTTCAAAAGCGCATGCAGACTAGCCACAAACACATGCTGCAGGTCAAGTCAAAAGAGCCATTGTGGAGCAGACTAGGTAGGGATCCACATCTACTCCATGCAGACTCTCCACTGGTGTCCTTCAGGGCTCAGTTCTTGGTCCTCTACTGTTCTCCCTCTATACTAGATCTCTTGGTGAGGTCGTATCCTCACATGGGTTCTCATAAAACTGCCATGCAGATGACACCCAACATATCCTTTCTTTTCCTCCCTTTCACACTCGAGTCTCCACTCTGATTTCTGCATGTCTGACAGCTCATCAGCTGAAACTCAATCCCAGCAAAACTGAGCTGCTATTTATCCCAGCTGATCCATCCCCTCACCAGGATCTTGTGATCTCCCTGGACAACTCTCTGATTTCTCCTTTGGTCACTGCTCACAACCTTGGGGTAGCTATGGACAATCACCTGTCCTTTTCTGCTCACATTGTAAATCTATCCTGCTCATGTTGATTTCTCCTCTTCAACATCAAAAGGGTTCGTCCATTTCTTTCCACACAGGCCACACAGCTACTTGTTCAATCTCTTGTCATCTCGAGACTACTGTAACTCAACCCTAGAAGGTCTGCCTCTAAGCGCCATTCGTACTCTGCAACTGAGGCAGAATGCAGCTGCCCGACTCATTTTCAATCTTCCCTAGTTCTCCCAAACCACACCATTGCTACACTTCTTCCACTGGCTTCCTGTAGCTGTCCGTATCAGATTCCAAACACTGATGCTCCCCTACAAAGCCAAAAATGGACCAACACCCTCCTACCTAAAAGAATTTATCGCACCCCACACTGCACCAAGCTCTCTCCAATCCTCCAGCACCGTTGGACTGGTCTCACCATCTCTCAAGGGGCAAGAAAGACATGCATCTAGACTCATCTCTGTTTTGGCTCCTATGTGGTGGAATGAACTTCCACTAGATGTCCGAACAGCTGAGTCATTCAAACTAAGACTAAAAACCTACCTCTCTTGGAAGTACTTGGATTAGCACTTCCAGTATTATACTCTTATTTAAAAAATGTATTACTTGCCAACAAGTGACAGTAGTCTTAGCTGGGTTCTATTCAACCAGTATCAGAATATTCACTGAGTCTTCTAATCACTTATATAAGTTGCTTTGGCTAAGGGCATCTGCCAAATGCCGTAGATGTAGATAAGGGCAAGCACATGGCAGGATATTAGAGACACAATGAGAGCATTGGTGGTGGACTGGGACAGAAATGATCAGAGACAGCATAACAACTAATGATGTTCCCAGAGAGACACATTCCTCTGGGAAGTCTACACTATGGCACTCAGGCAGTTATAGATATACTAAATGGGCAAATGCATGTGGACACCAACACGTCATACCTATAAGTGACGGCTGAACTTCACATTCCAAAGCCATGGGCACTAATGTGAAGCTGGTTCCCCCTTTGCTTTTGTAATGTGGCTGCAGGGATTTGCTTCCATTCAGCCACAAAGGCATTAGTGAGGTTGGACACTGATACCATCTGATCGGGCCTGCCCCACAGTGGCCTTTCCAATTCACCCCAATGCTGCTCAACAGGACAGAGGTCATCTGCCAAATGCGGATGCATCTATCAGTCTGGCAGACAGCAAAGCGTTACTCATCACTCCAACGAACATGCTTCCACTGCTACACAACACAATGATGGCATTCTTTCTCAATCCAAGTGATATTTGGCATTGCGTATGGTGATCTTGTGTGGGGCTAAGCTGTAGCTGTGCCTAGTCATTTCCACTGTACAATTTACCAGGACAGCCCTAGCAGGGCTAACTTGTTGGAAAGATGCCATCCGTAATCCTATTCCACGCTGAAAATCGCTGAGCTCCTCTACAATCCATATTACTATCATGTACATCTACAAAGAGCAGATAGTTGTACACTTGATTATACACTGTGGGTGAATCAGCTGACCTCACAAATTCCAAAGTATGTCCACATCCTTTTGGCCATGAGGTGTAATATTTTGGTAGCGGAACCCCCCACCATGCAGCAGGAAGGCTACAGCTTTGCCCGGGTTTAACTTCCAGGCAGGATCTCTATCACATTTTCTCCACGTTCATACTAGCTTCCTCTGGTCCACAGTGTTAATGACTTGGAAATTAACATGTGAACCCCTCTTGTCCAAGGTCACTTCACCCATAAGCAGTTATTCTTAGTAGATGACCCAATGGATGGGTTAGGTTATACCCCTATCCATCTTAACAGCTTCCGAGAAATCAATCACTTTTTTTTCCTGGAAATTGTTTTTCTGTTACCACTTCAAGATATTTTCCGGAAAATAATTACAGCCTCATGCCCTTGACACCTGGCCTGGTTTGTCATAGGCCCAGAGAGGCCCACTGAACAGTCTGCAAAGTCCTGAAACTTTATGAAGATGAAGACATTCACTCCTTCTCCATGTGGGCTTCGAGAGCAAAAGTGGAAAAAAGACTGAAAAAACTCTCACCTCTGCCATCCCCACAAACACCTTTGCCTGCTCCCTCCTGCGCCTGTGTGATACTGACAGCAACGCGCTTCACTTTTTGGCTGACATAATGTGACGCCGTGGGGTTGAGCAGTAGCCGGCATGCTTTGTACCACACTGCGCGTATCTCTAAATGGTGTACGTTAATGTGTATTTATGTTAATTGTAAATGTTGTAACTGTGTAATGTTTACTGTGGAACATGATTCGTTAGCGTGTAAACGTGAGTGCCAAGTGAGTGTTTGGTTTTCTTTTTGGTGCAGCTGTTACTACACCGATAGTGGCTGTTAGTGTATTTCACTTTAAAAGAAGTGTCATTTTTATTAAAATGTGGATTCTGGAGAAATCTCTGTATGCAAGGGACAAGGCCGAATACCAATACTGAATAGCTGTGATCTTAGGGTCCTCAGGCGGCACTGCATTAAAAACAGACACAATTCTATAGTAGAAATCAATGTATGCGCTAAGGAACTCTTGCAAAAACCATTGTCTGTGAACACATGCAGGATGAAACTCTACCATGAAAAGAAGAAAACCATCTCTAAACATGATCCAGAAACATCGCTGAGTTGGCCCAAGCTCATTTAAGATGGAAAACTGTCCTGTGGTCTGACGAATCAAAACTTCAAATTCTTTTTGGAAATCATGGACATCACATCCTCCAGGCTAAAGAGAAGAGGGACCATCCAGCTCATTATCAGTGGACAGTTCAAAAGCCAGCATCTGTGATGCTATGGGGCTGTATTAGTGTCCATGGCTTGGGTAGCTTGCACATCTGGGAAGGCACCATTAATGCTGAGGGATATATACAGGCTTTGGAGCAACACATGCTACCATCAAACTGTAGAGTAGTTGAAATCCTTTTTCAGGCAAGAATAGGAGAACATTTCACTTTCCAAACTTCAGCAACTAATCCTCTCAGTTCCCAAAACTTTACAGTGTTGTTAAAAGAAGAGATGATGCAACACAGTGGTAAACATGCCCCTCCCAGCTTTTTTTTAAAAATGTGTTGGTGGCATCAAATTCAAATTGAGAATGTAATAAAACAACAAAATTTCTCAGTTTCACCATTTAATATGTTGTCATTGTTCTATCTTCAATTAAATAGATTTATAAATCATTGCATTCTGTTTTTATGTTACTCAGCGTCCCATCTTTTTTGGAAATGAGGTTGTAAACATTGTAAAGCAGAACCCATTTACTCTTAAAGTAAAGCTCTGATTTCTGTATTTTATAAAAAAAAATATATAATGTGGATAGATGTGTACAGGTATGTGACAAACATGTTTGATCAATTTTTGATGATGGGGTGCCATCTGGTGGCCACATGATGGAGAGATGTGTACTGAGGTACCCAATCAAATAAGTAAATGATGAGAGACACGTTGAAGTTCTGGATTATCAGTTCATAACCTGTCTTCAGTCAATGTGATTTAAAGGTTTATTTATACCTTGGAAAGTTATACGCACTCTGCGCCAAATGCATGCAAGACTACCACAATCGTCACCCAAGCTTAAATCTTCATCACAAAATATTTAGATCATATCAAATTAAACATATTGTACATACAAGGTCCTGGAACCTCCTACACAACATTATCTCAAATGAAATGCCAAAACAAATGCATAAATGATGACAAAGCATTATAAATGATGACAAAGCATTATGAATGTCTACTATGACTTGTGTATTACCTGGATAAGGTTGTGGCGATGTCAAACTCTGTTTGCTTCCTGTTGCCTTCCACCTGCTGGAGCTCTCCAAAAACCAAGTCGGCTTTTTCCAAATTAACCTCGGCCTCCTCCAGCATGAAAGGCAGTCAAGGATTTCAGCTGATTTACTAAAAAGATCCTTAATCACCCTTCTCTAGTACATTGATATTTTTACCAAATATCACCCACAAGCTACTAGTAACTAGCCATTCAGTATCTCGCAGAACACTATTTAGAAACAGTGTCAATTTTGTTTATGCACTTTTGGACAATGAGTACCATGCTGTCACACCATGCAAGCTTCACTGTCGATTACCACCACTGCTGCCTGGCTGCACATCATCTTATATCAAACCCTTAGCTCTCCAGATTTTTTTTTACAAATTCGAAGTAAAAAAAAAATGTCCAAGTGGAAGCTAGCTTTCTTCACATGTTTAGATTTGTCTGAGTTCATTCAAAGGATATTTGCCTAGAAGGAGGGCTGATTTTCCCTGAGTGTAATATACAGTAAAATAACATTCCTGCACCTCTGCCTTCTCCTCGCCTGCTGCTTCAGGGGAACAGAACGGAATGATAGCCTGGGCCTTCGCAGCGTGTTCCTGAGCCTGCAGCGGCAAGCCTGCATGGGTGCCATGGTGGAGATATGTAATGGTGAACATTAAAAAAAAAAAACAAAAAAAAAAAACAAACTCCTAGGCTAAATTATTTTGACTGTGGATGACTGACACACTTGGTCAATTGTTAATACAGATGAGACATTCAGATACAAATTGGTGAAACAACCCTTGCACATGTATTAGCTTTGACAAATGAACACAAAACATCATAGAAAGGTCTTACCTTTCAACTGCAGGTAACACTGGGCCAGTCTGGCATGGGCCTGAGCCAATTTTAGATGGATGTCTCCATATACCAGCCTCGCTAGGGCTACACAGCGCACCTGCGCCTGGACACACGCATCAATCTGGAACAGAAAACACATGCAGACATGCTGTTCCCTCACTTCAGGGAGGGACATCCCTCTCACAGGGAGCTCTCTCATTCATGTGGACTGTAAGTCACATCTCCTGTTGTTTCAGGTGCAAGTCACATCCAATACAGGGTAACATTTGAGCACATATGAATCCAAAACAAGAAATTCAACACAAGTGGAATTTCATTTTTAAAACCCTGTCAGAAGAACTTCATGCAAAGGGAATTATAAAAGAATATTTTGATCAGTTTGAGTTCAGACACTCACGTCTGTAGTCTCAAACTTTGTTCGCTTCATTTCCCATCACGTTAAATTTGCATTGTATTTAGGCTGCAAAATACACTGCACAATTACAAATGGCTGCCATGCCAGTAAGTGATGCCTGGATAGGACAGGACTGGACTGGATAGGACAGGATTCTTCGGATGTTTTACGAATCTGTCGTGGCGAGTGTCGTTTTTTATGCTGTGGTCTGTTGGGGCTGTAACATGAAAGCAGCAGACAGAAACAGACTGGACAAGGTCATTAAAAGGGCTGGATCTGTACTGGGCTTGGATCAGCATCTATGTCGTGGCAAGGAGAAGAATTTTGTCCAAAATACGTACCATCTTGAACAATCCTTCTCACCCGCTATACAGAGTCCTCTCCGTCCAGAGGAGCAATTTCAGCCAGAGACTGATTATGACCAGGTGTTCTACAGAGCGCCACAGGAGATCTTTTCTCCCAATGGCCATAAAATTATATACTGTAACTCTGCTCTGTAATGTTTTTACTACGGGACTGGAACTATGAGTAGTTCCTGTTCAATATTATTTTTATAATACTACTGTTTCTAATTAGAGTTCCAAGTGCAATATCTGGTTACAATACATGTGGGTAATATTTCTTCTTATTTACACTGTTATTATATAACTTAATTGTGTGTTATATCTAATTTTATTATATTTTACTTTTACTTATTATTTTCTCTTTAAATTTTAAATTTTTATTTTTTATATATATAATATAATGTACTTTCTACTAATTTAATTTTTCTTTCTTCCCGGTTAGTTAATTAATTAATTAATGAGAGCAACTGTATAACCAAGAAAAAGTAATTTCCCTCTGGGATTAATAAAGTTCTTTGAATATTTGAATCTTGAATATTTGGTGATAGAATATGGATGTATGTTAATATTGCATATAAATCTAAACACACACACACACACAAAATACCTGCTGACTGTCTTCTAGGGCTTGCACTTCAGTCTGCCATTGGGACAGCTTCTCTTCAGGACCAATCCTGATGTCTGCTATACTCTCAGCACCTCTGCTGGGGCTCTGGGCCCCCTGTCCTTTCTCACACCATAACGTGGGGCATTCAGAACCAGCATTGTAGCTCCTGCCACAGCCAGAACTTCTGCAATAATGACAATCACAGTCATCACCTATTAAATTTCCTTTATTTCATGATCAACAAAAAATCAGGACCCACAAATGCACGAAACAGTTAAAACGGTGGGCAAATTTTACATAAATTGCAAAAACGTGAAAATTCATAATTATTTTCTCCTTGAACAACTCAATTTATCCCCCCCCCCCATATCAAACATTTGTCCTCAAAACCTTTGTGCACGGTACAGTTTATTTTACAGGGTATAAAACACCAATTAATACTTTTCACGTATTAGCACAGAAATTATCCATTTATGTAGTAATAAAGCCCTTTAAAAGTAACTGAACCATATCTTACGGTATTGCACATTCGAATGAAACGCTATCAAAATATTTTGTTGACCCGACGTCAGCGTTCATCTTTCAACTCAAGTAAGGGTGAGTAGCAACTAACTAACAATGGAGCTGTCTGACAAAAGGAACTAACTAAACTTCAGTTAATGACAGAAGAGCATCTGTTCTTGTTTCACTTCCAAACATAACAAACGACGAGACGCCGGCGCCAGTCTACAAAAGCTCCTGGTCACTTCCGCTTGCTGCTGAGGATTCTGGGTAAGGAATGGCTGCTGAAGGAGCGGTGAAAAACATCTGCTATGCTTCTCTTTAGTATTGCAGTTGGCTCCGCTGATTTCTTTCATTGACATAAATATTTGAACTCCTTTCACAAATTATACTGGGAATTATAAATAGCAAATATTGCAACCCACAGTCTGTGAGGCGAAATTGAAAAATGCACATATTTATTATTTTGTTAAAATAATAAAACTAAATCAATGGTTTTTATTATTATTATTAAGCGAACGCAGACGAGCCGACAAGTACGGCGTATCACCAAAACTTCAGATCAAGTCTGAGCTAGATCTTCTGATAATTTCACTACCGTTACTGTCGGAGTGATGGCGACACCTGTCCTCACTACCCGCTATGTTTTACTTGTTAGCGGTTTGTCGAATTAGGAAAATAGTTCCTTTCCCAAGAGTGAAAAAAACACAACGTCACGCACATTTCATACACCTCGCGTTTATTCTCATACTGCGAAAATGTTCACTCTTAAGACAATTAGGGTTTAGATGAGTCGCTCCCAGAGAAATAACTGATTTTTTTTAAAACAAATTTCCAGCACCACAAACTCCATGCAGTGCACGGTATTAGAATGAAACTGACTAGTTAAGTGTGAATGGCTGTGAATAATGAAATCATTCGTTCGGTGAGATGGAAGTGGTATGGTGTCACCTTGGCTTGGCAGCCTCCCATCTTCAGTGCTGAGGTTTGACTCCCACCATTGGTTCTATCTGTAGAGTGTGCTGGACCTGTTCTTTACAGGCTTTCATGGGTTCCCATCTGTTATCCTGTGGCTGTCAGGCAATTTGATGTCTTTCTGTTAACTATAGACTGAGACGCTCCCTTGATGTGAACTAGGATCCCTTGGAATGACTCCGCATTGGCATATGAGTAGCTGATAATAATTTATTCCACTTTGCATGCATCACATGTTCCTGTGTGATACCTAACGCTAGAACTTTTGCTCTGCGAGTCCAGGTGGAACACTTCAAAGGATAAGATCTACCTTCATGATTTCTGCTTTAATTATGAATGAAATCACCCATTGCTTTTAGAAAATTGAACGGCACATGAAAAATCTCCTGTACAAAATTTTGTCTGCTAAGGGTGTTAGACACTCAGCAAGATATAACTCTGTCTATGACTTCATTGAAGTTTCTGTGTAGCTTAGATGTCTTAGGCCATAGTCTTTTGGGTAACAAACAGAAGATATGTAAACTACTATATTTTTGTCCTAAGCAGGAGCAGCGGATTTCCATCTGAAATGTTTAATGAAACCTTTTTGCCTATGAAGTGGAAGGAGTCATTTATTGGCATTTCTATCACTGACAGTCCTTATGACCCTAACCTTTGATGGATGAATGGATCATTGGTACTCTGTTTATTTTTCTAATTGCATACACCTCTGACTATATTTACTGTTCAGTGGTTAGCACAATCACGTCACCTCTGCAGAGTTCTGGGCTCCTTACCAGTGTGTGTGGAGTTAGTATATTCTCCCTGATGTGTTTTGAGTTTCCTGCCACAGTCCAAAGATGTGGCCTAGGTAGATTAAAATACCCTTCATGTGTGTGCCTTGTTGTGAACTTCCACTTCCATCCAGGATGCCCCCAGACTTCTGCTCTGTGCTGCTGGAATAGGCTCCAGACCCACCATGATCCTGTACTGGATAAACAGTTGGAAAATGGATGGAAGGATGGATAAAGTGCATTCATTACTCTCCAACCGTATCTAAATCGAGGAACAGGTAACACTCTGGGTAAGAACACTTGCTTGTAACCCAAAGGCTAGTAATAGGAGAAAAGATGTGGGTGGGATTATTGTGCACTGCAAATCAGGGTTAACCCACTTTCCGTTGGTTACATAACTGGCTCCTATTTGGGTAGAGTACTTTACTATTTTGTCCAGCAGATGTCACTAAGGAATTATCTATAACACCTTCTCTAGAAAGTTATTTAACTAGTATCAACCTCCAGTTTTATGTTCAAATGTCTTGAAGCAGTGCACCTAGCCATTGAGGAAGTGTTTGAAGTAGATTTTTACAGATTGTGGGCATAGTTAGAAGCACCAAGAAACAATTAATTGCTGTAGCGATCTGATGGACTTTTTTCTGTTTTTCCTTAGACAGCATTCACCAGAGACAGTAGGACTAAACCAATATACCACTCCATCCATTTGATAGCAAGCTAGCATCAGACTAACATTAAAATAATGCTACTCTGTCTCTCTCTGGGTTAAACTAAAGGGTTAGTCATATTTGAGTTATAAGTGACCGATATCCCAGCTAATGGCGACAGAAACATCATTCATTGTTGGAATATTTCTTTCTTTGGGAATAAAACAGCAAAAAAGACAAACTATGTATCATAAGTGAGTTATATAACTCTTATAACTCAGTCTTACGTCTGGACATGATACTGTAATATTTCAAATGAAATTTGCAGATCATAACCACAGCACAAATCTTTTTATTATGTTTCCCCATCTATAACCAGAGCAATTCCTACTTCTGTTTTTCTCTATTTTTTTGGTATACTAATGTTTGTAGCTTCGATCCCACGTAATCCAACAATCTACACAGATGTTCTTGTCTGTGAGACTATGTGAAAGGGGATGTTACAGGTGATGGCCGAACAAAAACTCCACTGCAAATTTATCTTATTATCTTGCGCTCCAAGCACTGGGGCCCGTTAGCATGAAATCTGTCCCCCTGCCGTGGGAGGTAGCTGACAAAAACCATCCAAGGCAGAAGAGAGAGGCACTGCTCATTACTCACACCTTAACCACAAGTAAATGTTGCACCTTCATTTACACCTTCCCACAAAAGCAAAGAATAGATGGTTCTACTGAACTTTTGTAAGTCAGTTCTGTCTGCGGTTGTCAGCATTCTGTTGAGCAGAGGCTGCTCAGTCCACACAGGAGCCACCCTGGAGGGATTGGTAGGTGAAGGCACCGCCCTTGCCAGTGGTTTCCCAAAGGTCAGCTAGGATTCCTTCCACCCAGGTCCTCAGCCTAGCAAGGCCTTCATTGTGTCTATCCCAGCATGCCCTCGAACCCAGTTCCCCCGGCAGTCGAGCCCCCAGCAGCACGGGCGGGCCCATCAAAGGGGCAGCTGTGTTCTCCCCATTGATCCGCGTGCAGACTCTGTTAGTGCATGAGCCGCGCAGCAAACAAACAGCAAACGGCGGTGCCATCCTTGGCATGAGCGCACAAAGGGCCAGCTCAATGGAGGGCCCATGGAGGTCTATTTAAAGCAGGTAGACAGGAGATGCTATAAGTCCCACACTGCATACACCTTGTTTGCCAAAGCAGTCTAAAGTAGCTTATTATAGCAGCTTCCTATTGACCCTGGCAGCCCATAAAAAGCTGTTTGTTTGCATGTTTGTCCCTTGGGCCTTTAGCTGGGAGTCCAGGGCCCAGCTTGGCCCCCGTCCCTGTCTTGCTTCTATTTTCGGGCCTGAGTGGCTCTTAATGACCCTGGCTGGGCTGGCACCAGCCCTCTGCAAACGAATCTCCAGCAGCACCCCCTGCCAGACCCAAAGTCCTCCTCTGGCAGCACCTACTCTGGGCTTCTGGTTTCCTAATTTAGTAACGGCAAGTAAAAATATGCTCTACCCAACTGGCCCTGGAACGCAGGGCAGGCATCCAGCAAGGCCCACGTTGTTTTCGCGGCTGGTGGCCAGGGAGACGGCGGCCTCGCCCCCCCCTCTCACCCCCACCCGCAGCCCATCTCCCCTCCAGCTTGCTCCAGTCACTCGATTTCATTAGTCTCCCCTGCCGCAGGGTTAAAACCAGACTGCCTGACAGAGGACCTCAGGGCAAGCCAGACCCCAGGCAGTGTGTTAAGTCTGAGGTGCACAGCAAGGGTTGTCTCGAGGTCTGAGGGGGTCTTGAGGTTCTGCCCCAGTTGGCAACACACAGCTAGAGGGTCTAAAGGCAGAGTCCCCCAGCCCCCCCAGCGACAAATCAGGGTCCATCAGCTGACACTTGTGTGATGGCAGGACCGGCCTGGTCATTGGAGATATTCTCTGAAGTGCCAGAAATACACAGCAGTTAGCAAATGCCACTTAGTTAAGGACTACGCTGTACTTAAGCATCTTTTTATTATAAAAGTCATTAACGTGTTAGTGAGAGATGGGAGAATTACATATCAAATACAGTCGTCCCTCGTTTATCGCGGTTAATCCGTTCCAGACTCTACCGCGTTAAATGAATTTAGTAGGATTCTTTATTTCTTTATTATTCGGCTGCACCTGGCGTTGAAGGATTTGCGGGGGTGCTCGAACACATAGGCCTACAGTCCATACGTACAGTAATTTTAATCTTAATTGTAATACAGAGGTGTATAATTGACTCAGACAACCGAGCGCGCGCTGTATCATTTTCACTGTCTATCAACTTTTTAATGAATAAATGTATTTGAAAAAAACGCGATAGAGTGAAACCGCAAAAGTCGAAGCGCGAAATGGCGACGGACGACTGTATATACATCCAGGCTGTATGGATCTTACCATACACCCCTGCATTTACCAGTGCAGGGGGCTGAATCATACAAGTCAGGCAAACAGCCTGGATGGTGTGCCACTGTAACGCAAAGCACACAATCACACTCAATGGGCAAGTTTGAGGTGCCAGTTTTTTACACAAGTGTTTTCTCATTGCTTTCCCAGAAAACTCAAATGTAAAGCACAATTTAAACGAAATACATGGCTTACCTGAAGGTATAATAATTGATTGGCTCGACTATTACTAAATGCAGTTAAATCACTAGATAACAACAGGAAGCAGCTACTGAGGAGTCAGCACTGCATCTGTGTCTGTTCTAATTGCTTAAAGGCTCAGCTCACAGTCAGATCTCAGTGACACATAAAATAGGCCCCCTGTGAGTTTGCATGGTTGAGACATGGCTGGCGAACAGCGGCCCAAAGAGAAAGAGAGGAGCTTAGTGAGGAGGAGGGCTGGCTCCTGCCATAGCCTACATGGAGAATATGTTTTTTTTATGCCTGATGCTAAGGACCCACCCCATGTGCTCAAATACGGAGCTCATTTTTAACAAGATGATCATAAAATGACAATATACCCCTGTACAGATGTATCATATGTGTAGAAAGCTTTTTACCTAGATATTCATTTCTAGAGCTGAAAGTGAATACCCCACCTAGCTGAGGCAGAATTTTTACTAATCGACTGGTAGTGCTGCTAAGCATTATGAAAGGCTAAACTTAATGTTTTAATCAGCAGTGAATAATTTACACTTTGAGTGCAAGCTTGAGTGCCACATTTTATTTAGTTTTTCTCAAAACCTTTTACTTAGGCTTGAGAGTTTTTGGACCATTACTATGCAGTTGCTCAAATGTAAACACAACAGCTGTTTGAAGTCCTCTGTGTCACATGGTCTTTGACTGCTAAGAGGACTCCAGTTTAGGGTTAAACCATTCAATAATAGAACTATGAAATGTTTGCTTTGCAGATTAATGATTATAATTTCACACATGCAGACACTCATGCAGGCTATCTAAGTGTATAACATTTGTTTGTGTATGTCATTTGTTCGTGTATAACATTTGTTTGTGTATGTCATTTGTTCGTGTATAACATTTGTTTGTGAGTGCAAGTGTTTTATGAATGCTCCTTACTTTAGCAACCTGGACCCCACATCCTAGAACAGTTCTAACATTACGTTCATGATGTTTTATTATGAGACTGGACACCAGCTGGTGAAGTAGTTTTAAGTTATAGCATGACAGCAGCTGGTTTTAGTCCCAGAATGGGTTGATGCTGTTGTACTTTTACTTAGGCTGAACTGTTCTAATAAAACACCCAACC